GCTCCTGGTATCCCAAACCTTCCTTTTTGTCATGCCACATGCATTCTACATACTGTATAATTATATTTTTGCTTCCATTACAAGATTGTAGACAGATTTTACTACAGCTTCCTTATAATTGTTAAATTTTGTTAACCCTATCTGAAACTATCACTTTTCTATTTCCCAACCACTTTGTGTTTGAATCTATGTGTCTCTAGTTGCTGTTCCTTCCACACCCATTTTATCTGTATTTTATCAAATGCAATCCCTTAATACCTCAAACCAAAATGAACCTTTTCTAGTCTCTCTGCTTTTAGAAATTAAACACAGAAAACAAAGCATTACAGTCTTGGAATCACATATGAGATAGACCATGAAACATTTGTGTGGTAGTATTGTGTTCCCCCAAATATTGTGCACCCTTGTAAACTTATCTGGGCTCAGAGTACAGAACAGTCACTAGACAAAGAGGCCAGAAAATGGTGGCACACATGCCTTTAATCCTATCACTTGGGCTACCAAGATCCATCCGGACCTCTGTGAGTTCAAGGCCACACTGGAGACAGCCAGGCATGGTAACAAGAACCTAAAATCCCAGGAAGTGATGGCAGAAAGCAGAAAGGTATATAAGGCGTGAGCACCAGGAACTCGAGCCTGGTTAAGCTTTTACGCTTTTGAGCAACAGTTCAGCTGAGATTCATTCTGGATGAGGACTAAGAGGCTTCCAGTCTGAGGAAACAGGATCAGCGGAGGAATTGGCGAGGTGAGGAAGCTGTGGCTTGTTCTGCTTCTCTGATCTTCCAGCGTTGACCCCAGTACCTGGCTCCCAGGTTTGTTTTTATTAATAAGAACTTTTAAGATTTGTGCTACACATTTGTTTTTTTTGTATTTGGGTGACCTCATTTAGCATATTTTTTCAATTTCATATTTTTTCTAATTCCATCCATTTACCTGTAGATTCTATTATTCCATTGAGTAGTATTCCATGGTCTATATGTGTCACATTATCATTACCTATTGTTTGTTGTTGAACATCTATGTTGTTACCATTTTCTCAGCTGTTGTGAATACAGCAGCAGTGAACATGGATGTGCAAGTGTCTCTGTAATAATATGTAGAATGATTTGAGTGTAAGCTTGGGAAGGATATAGCCAAGACATATCACAGTTCTATTTCTTATTTTTGAAGAAATCTCCCAAATGATTTCCAAAGTAACTAAACTAGTTTACATTTCCATAAACAATGAATAAGGATTATACTTCTCCCATATCCTTACCTGTATTTGTTTTCTTGATTATGGTTATTACTGGGGTAAAATCAAAACTTAAAGTTGTTTTAATCTGCATTTCCTGATAGATTATCATGGTAGATAAGGACTTTGGTTGGAGAAACCAACCTTGAACTGAACAGTAAATGCACCCTTCTGGCTAGATTTCCTAGTACAGGAAGGTGCTATGCAACCTGTAATGAGAGAAAAGGCATCAATGATCTTCCACAGTACCGGGCCTGGCCATCTACAATATCAGCCTTCCAGGCAGGATGTGCCCACTAGTGTCTGTTACTTAGTGACCAACTGCTTTCTAATTGTATTTTTATCCTGCTCCATAGGAAAGACTGGACCCTTTGTAAGCATGCTCAACAGCCCATGGCTAGGGCTGACATAGACCTAGTAGACCCTAGTTGTATTACTCATGGTCTAGTTGTCAAACTGACTTACAATACTTATCTTTATACCCAATAGATTAGTGCTGCTCTCAGCCCTGACCTTCTGTATGCTGTGTAATGGTCAATGCAGACATTAAAAATGGTCAAAGTTCTGAGAATGAAAGTTCTGAGTACTTTCAAAGATACAGGAGACTCTATGAAATCAACCTTGATATCAACCTCCCACCCAAAGCTCAAGGACCATCAGAATCAGGGAAGAGAAACAATGTAAGGTTCACAGAATGAGGTTAAAGACATGAACTTCTGTATACCGAGATTGACACATTCTCATTGCACAAAGGAACTCTCAGCAACTGTAGCTACCAGCACAAAATAAAAGCAATCAAAATCACAGCATGGAAGCCAGTGAAAAGCTAAGCAGGTAGAAATGCCTCTTGGCAAACTGGACAAATTTAGTTTTATTTCCAAAAGTCACGTCTTAGAAGAAGAGAACTGAGCTCCATATGATGTCTTCTAAGTTTCACACACAGGCCTTGGCACACGTGTGCCCTGCCCCAAGTACTAAGAAAGTGTTAAAAAGTTACAACATTGAGAAATCGGGTGTTATTCTGATGGGTTTGCCTTTATATGTCACTTGGCCTTTTTCCTTTGCTGCTCTTAATATTCTTTCTTTATTCTGTACGTTTAGTTGTTTAACTATTATGTGGCGAGGGGACTTTTTTTGGGGGTCTAGTCTGTTTGGTGTTCTATAAGCTTCTTGTATCTTCATAGACATTTCCTTCTTTAAGTTGGGAAAGTTTTCTTCTATGATCTTGTTGAATATATTTTCTGTGCCCTTGAGTTGGTATTCTTCTCCTTCTTCGACCCCTATTATTCTTAGGTTTGGTCTTTTCATGGTGTCCCAAATTTCTTGGACATTTTGGTTCATGACTTTGTTGGCTTTAGTGTTTTCTTTGACTGATGAATGTATTTCTTCTACTGTATCTTCAACGCTAGAGATCCTCTCTTCCATCTCTTGCATTCTGTTGATTATACTTGCATCTGAAGTTCCCAATCGTTTTCTCAGATTTTCTATTTTCAGCATTCCTTCTGTTTGTGTCTTCTTCATTTTTTCTATTTCCCTTTTCAGGTCTTGGACTGTTTCCTTCATTTGTTTCATTGATTTTTCTTGATTTTCTCTCAGTATTTTATTGTTTTCTTCCAGGACTTTATTGATTTCTTCTAATTTGTTTGCCCTTTCCTCTAGTTGTTTACAGCGTTCTTCACATTTTTTTGTCTTTTCCTCTACACAAGCCTCTAGCTTCTTCATGATGTCATTCATAAGGCTGTTTTCTTCTGCTTCTTCCAATTTCTGATGTTCAGGTCTAGGTGTTGGAGGAGGGCTAGGGCCTGGTGATGCTGTACTGCTATTCATTTTGTTGTATATGTTTCTGCCTTGACGTCTGCCCATCTCCTTGTGGTTCGTTACTGGCCTTATCCGCACACTTGGTTCAGCCAGACCAGTGTTCCAAAAGGGAAGTCCGGAGCAAGATGGGAGCTGGGGGCCGGCCTCTAAGTCTCAGGAAGAGGCTTGGGGCTGAGGGGTCCCCACTGGATCAGGCCCTCCGAATGGGTGAGACAGTTGATTGGCTTGATCTGTTTGGGAGGCATCCAGGCAGTGGGACCAGATCTTGTGCTCATTGCATGAGTTGGCTGTTTGAAACCTGGGGCCTATGCAGGATTGTTTGGCTCGGCCTGGGAGGAGGGGACTAGACCTACCTGGACTGAGTCTACCAGGTTGACCTCAGTCTGTGGGGAAGGCTTTGCCCTGGAGGAGATGGGAATGGGGGGGGGGCGTTGGGGGGAAGGTGAGGGGGACGGGAGGGGGGGAGAACAAGGGAATCCGTGACCGATATGTAGAACTGAATTGTATTGCAAAATAAATTAAAAAAAAAAAAGAATGCCATTAGAGAGCAAAAAAAAAAAAAAAAAGGAACAAGCAGACAAATGAACACATCCTCTTGGAGTCATACGACACTGAAAGAATAGAGAATAAATGCATAAAAAATGTAAAAAAAAAAAAAAGTTACAACACAGGTCGGGTGGGATTCCCCATCCACACTCCAAGATGAGGAGCTGTTGGGATTGGAAGACTGCTTAGGAAGTTAGAATCACTTTTCTTGGGATTGTAACCACTTTGAGGTTACTTATGAGCTAGGGGATGTCCCCACCAAATCCAGATGGATAGCATTTAGTAGACTTAGTGAGTTATTCGTTAATAAAACAAAAGAGATCAATATGTTAGGAGAGAGACATTTTGTTTTGGGAGGTCATAAAGGGAGCAAGAGGGACATAGTGGGGGAGGACACGATCAAAATACATTGCATTCATGAATGAAAAGTGCAAGACATGAACAAGATATTATTCTGAAATAATAATATTCCATATGTTTAGAATTTTCATACAGATATACATTATACAATGTACATATTTACTCCATAAACTCAACCTGTCTTTCCTTGCTCCTACCATTCCCTTTTGTCACTTTTTCTCCATTAGACACTTTTTATTCTACTTCATTACATATGTACATACATAATTGTTTCTAACTATGTAATATCTAAGAATTAAAAATGATACTTTTATACAATATCTGTTTCTGAGAGGGTCTTAATTTACTTAACAATTTTATCACTGATTGAATTCATTTTCCTAAAAGTTATGTAAGTTCTTTATACTTTACTGATGAATAAATTCTGTTGTATTGTATATATATCATGTTTTCTTGATGCAACCATTTGTTGAAAGATATGCAGTTTGTTTCTATAATTTATCTATTATAAATAATGCTGCAATAACATTTGTGTGCAAACATTTCTGAGACAGTTTCACTTTTGGTCATTTGAGTAAGTTTTTTTTTAATTATGCAGCCTGCTTGAAAAGCATTTACTAACTTCATGTATATGAAAAAAGACTGCAAATTCTCATAATTTATGGAATTTGAAGTACTTATCACAACCACCATGTGTCAATCAATTTTGTCACCAAGAGTAGCAACTGGCTCTAGCTGAAGTCTATCTGTGAATTAAGAGCTTAGGTCTTAATGTTATGTTCATGAGGTCTCCACAGGGCTTGGGAAATTAGCATGGAATGTATTTCCTCAGACAGGATTAGGACTTGGACTTCAACATATTACAGCCTGACCCAAGGTCCTCTACATCCTTCTTCTCAAGCTGGACTAGGTTTTAACCTAAGAAGTTCTCTGCTCATGAATATGAAAATTTCTTGAGTCTGTGGTGATTAATAGGAAGTTGTCCACATCACAGAACAACATATGATCAGTGTCCTCTCCACAGTCACTGAGCACACAGGACCTCACCATGGGATGGAACTGGAGCATCTTCTTCCTCCTGTCAGTAACTACAGGTATGAGGCTTTCCAGTTCCAAACCTGAAGAAGGAGCAGGAACTGAGGTGACAATGACATCCACTCTGCCTTTCTCTCCACAGGTGTCCACTCCCAGGTCCAGCTGCAGCAGTCTGGTCCTGAGCTGAGGAAACCTGGGTCCTCAGTGAAGTTGTCCTGCAAGGCTTCTGGCTACACCTTCACCAGCTACAATATGGACTGGGTGAAGCAGAGTCCTGGACAGGGCTTGGAGTGGATTGGAGCTATTAATCCTGAAAATGGTAATACTGGCTATAATCAGAAGTTCAAGGACAAGGCCACACTGACTGCAGACACATCCTCCAGCACAGCCTACATGGAGCTCAGCAGGCTGACATCTGAGGACTCTGCGGTCTATTACTGTGCACGAGACACAGTGTTGAAACCACATCCTGAGTGTGTCAGAAACTCTGGAGGAGCAGGAAGCTGCCCTGGGACTGAGATGACAGAGAAGATTAGACTGGAGACTTGCTCAAATATCATCATTCTGAATATCAATTTTCCACCTCCTCCTCTGTAAATAAGATGATGTGGATTGAGATCCAGTGACCACCTCCATTTATATGTTTCTTCTGTTGTGAAACACTAAAGAAGAAGGGAAAACTGTGATAATGCATACTGACAAGAATATCTCTGGATTCTAAGAGACTAGAACTGTTTTTGGAGTAGCTTTGAATAAAGTGTAAGCATGAATTTTATCAGTAAAATTCACATAAACAACATCTGAGGAAACCAAAACTCCTCTCATAGTCTTAAGTCATAAGTAACCTGAATGTGTACTCTTAATTTGGGCTGTGTTGACTAGTAGAACTTTCAATTTCTTAGAATGTAAGAGATATTCATATCATAATGCACTGCTATACAAGTGTAATTCTTATAAGTTGACCAAAAGTATTATTAAATTACTTTTCATAAAACTCATTTATTGGCATAGTGTATATACATGATAGTTAAGAATAGGTTTGAGATTATTCATAATTATCTGGTCCCCAATTACTGCCGTTCCAGTCCCAGTACCCTGACCTACAGTCTCATGCACTTATAGAACATTAACCTACTCTGATACACCATCATACTTCATGGTCCTCTGGATATCTTGAAGTCACACTTGTTCTGTAGTGTGTTTGGTTTTGGATAATTGGGCTAATAACAAGCAGCATGGAGACCTGTGGTACTTGATGATCTCATATTGGTTTAAATATTAAGGCAACTCCACGTAGTTAAAAGGGAGGTTTATTTTGTGGGGTAACTTACAAGTGAAGGGATAGGTTACAGGGTCTGAGAAAGGTGTAGTGCAGTCCAGCGTTGTTCTCTGGATAACTCTGCTTGGTCTACCTCCAGCGTCCACGATCCAGGAACCAAGAGAGCTGGCCTATCTGGATCTCGGGTCTACAGGGGTCCTCTTGGCTCCACCTTGTAGGTGTGACAGTTGCTGAAGCCTCAAAGAGGGTGGTACTTCCAGGTCAAAGCTGGACCAGATACCCACTACATCTCCCCCTTTTGTCTAAATAAGAAAGTTTTAACCTAATACAAGACTATATACAATGGGAATGATTACCAAATATTGTCCAGGAGTAATAAGGGATAATGACCTAGATAAGATGGAACTACAACCAACTCAAACTCCCGCCAAGCCCCGGCAGTCTGACAGCCCACTTATAAAATAAACACACAGACGCTTATATTATTTAAACTGTTTGGCCTAATGGCTCAGGCTTCTAGCTATCTAGTTCTTACATCTTAAATTAATCCATTTCTATACATCTATACCTTGCCATGTGGCTTGTGGCTTACTGGCATCTTCACATGCTACTTGTCATGGCGGTGGCTGGCAGGGTCTCTCTCTGCCTTCCTGTTCTCTCATTTCTCCTCTCTGTTAGTCCCGCCTATACTTCCTGCCTGGCTACTGGCCAATCAGTGTTTTATTTATTGACCAATCAGAGAAACACTTTTGACATACAGACCATCCCACAGCAAGATAGATAGATAGTTAGATAGATAGATAGAGAAAGAGAGAGAGAGAGAGATAGATAGAGAGAGAGAGAGAGAGAGAGAGAGAGAGAGAGAGAGAGAGAGAGAGAGAACATAAGGCATAAGGTGGATGACATATTTTGGAGATGTGATCAATATACACTGTATGGCATAAAATTAATAAAATAGAGAAAAATAAAAATAAATACAAGTCTATGAGGGTGAAAAAATTCTATTTTGTTCTTTTGGGACTGAGAGACAAACATTGAGAAAAGCAATTTCTTGCCAAGGGTTTGCCAGCCCTTAGTTCATTCAGAGCCTCAATTGATTCAGGTTATCACTGGATAAAAAACATACCCCTGGTCATCAAGTATCTTGTCTGAGAACAAGTCTTTCTATACACCAGCTAGGCACCAGAATCCTGAAATTCTGTGGGATGTTCTGTATGCTGTGAGTATGTTGCTCTGATTGGTTGATAAAATACTGATTGTCCTGTAGCCAGGCAGAAAGTATAGGCAGGATAAGCAAACAAGGAGAATTCTGGGAAGTGGAAGGATGAGTCAGGAGATGCCAGCCCACCGTCCAGGGAGCAGCATGTAAGGACACACAGGTAAAGCCATGGAAAACGTGGCCATTTATAGCTTAAGAGAAATGGGCTGAGTTTAAGTGTAGGAGCTAGTGAATGGTAGGCCTGAGTTAATGGCCAAACAGTTTTAATTAATATAAGCCTCTGTGTGTTTACTCAGGTCTGAGTGGTTACAGGACCAGGCAGGATACAGGAATTGTATAAGTGGCTGTGGGACCTTGGTGCTGGGTGAACAGAGGAAAACTTCAGCATCACTGAAATAATGCTGGGGAAACATCAACTGAAAATTTCCCTGATGCTTTGCTCTTATCACTTCTATGCTAGCTGAAATGAAATTGATCATTTTGTTTTATGCAGTCATTCCTGGGATTATTAAATTGATATATATATATATATATATATATATATATATATATTTTTTTTTTTTTTTTCCGAGACAGGGTTTCTCTGTGTAGCTTTGCGCCTTTACCTGGATCTCGCTCTGTAGACCAGGCTGGCCTCGAACTCACAGAGATCCGCCTGCCTCTGCCTCCCGTGTGCTGGGATTAAAGGCGTGCGCCACCACCGCCTGGCTTAAATTGATATATTTAAATGCTTTCAATTCCTAAAAGATATGATGAGGCCAATCTCAACATCCGTGTTCATCTTTATGTGCACATGCCTTCCTTCCAGTCTGGTACACACCTATCAGAATTATTCCTAGAGTATTGCCCAGCTAGTCTTGTGAGAAGGAAGTCACTGAGATGGCAACATCTACATGTGCAAAGGAGCACAGAGTTCAAGAGAAGCCATGCAGCAGAAGTCCATATCCACACTGTAGACCTGGGTGAGTCCTACACATCAGCTAGACTCTGGTTCAGGAGCAAATCCAGACAAGATCAACCTGATGCAAGAGGAATGCAGGTCACTGGGTGATGCTGGTATCTCAGCCATTCAGGTCTCCAAGGGACAGGTGACAACAGGGACAGCAAGGGAGATTCCTGCAGTGATCCAGAGTTTCCTACTTTCACTTATCCACATATAATCCTGTTAAATATATGAAGCCCATAAGAGAAATGATTTGATCATTTAAGGACCAAAGCAGAAATGACTTCAGATCATTGTGTCACTGCAGTTAGTGGCTTTAATGAGCTCTCTTTACCTGGGAATGCCACAGAAACAATAATGTCACAGTACCAAATCCTCTTAGCCATAACAAACCCAGTTTCTCTAATAGTAGAATTAATTACTCCATTGGACAATAAGGACCCAATTCTCCTTTCTAATACAGGGGTGGCTATTCCAAGGTTCTTCCTTTTGAGACTTATCCTACAACAACCATGAAGAAAGTCCCACATTCTCAGTTGAATTGGAGAGATGAGATGACATACAACTGTGGCACTATAGACCAGGCAACAGACTCCTCTCCTTCCTGTGGTAACCACAGACAAGGAACATATACTTAGTTTGGGGAAATTAAAATAATAATGGCATGATTGCCAAGGATGTTAACAAACACACACAAACACAAGCATACAACATATATGTGAACAAAAGTTTGCTATGTGTTTTTATTATGTCTCAAAGAATAATCTCTGTGAGTATCAATGCTTATTTAATTTATATTTTATCTTATCAATAATGAGGATAAATCTTGGGACCTTGTGAGTGTTACACTCTCCCACTGTGCTATGTCCTCAGTTGAGTTTTGTTATGGTAATTTATAGTATACATTCACTACTCATTGAACTTTTATATTAATTCTGCTAAAATTATAAAATGGTATTTTTTGATTCAAAACTTCTGATGAATTTATTGTATAATACTGGTAAAATAGAAAATAAAGAGTGAGTATGGAACAAGAGCACAATAAAAATATATTAAAGCTGTTGGAATTTTATTACAAATACAAAATGAATGACATTTTAATGAAGCCATGGTCACTTTGCTACTTCATTTTCTCTCAGACATTTGCATCATTAACTGCTGCCCCAAAGGCTCCCACAACAGAGCATAAGATATGCAGGAAGATATGCAAATATGGCCTTTCCCTGCCATGAAAAGCAGCCCTGCCCTGACCCTGCAGTTCAGGCAGAGGACTCTAGCCCTGTCTTCCCATTCAGTGATCAGCACTGAAAACAGAACTTTCAAAATGGGTTGGGGCTGCACTGGGTTTTCTTTTTTCTTCTTTTAAAAGGTAAATATAAGAGATAACTGAGTGTATGAGTAGACAAGAGTGTGAGAGACAATAGACATTTGTGACAGGTTCTTGATCAGGATCCTCTCTGTTTGCAGGTGTCCATTGTGAGGTGCAGCTGGTTGAGTCTGGTGGAGGATTGGTGCAGCCTACGGGGTCATATAAACTTTCCTGTGCAGCCTCTGGATTCACCTTCAGTGACTATGCCATGTCCTGGGTCCGCCAGGCTCCAGGGAAGGGTCTCGAAAGGGTTGCTAGCATAGGCACTAAAAGTTATAATTATGTAATCTACTATGCTGATTCAGTGAAAGGCAGATTCACCATCTCCAGAGATGATTCCCAAAGCATGGCCTACCTGCAAATGACCAGTCTTAAAACTGAGGACACAGCCACGTATTACTGTTCAAGTCACACAGTGTTCTCTCTTCACTATGAGCCCAGACAAAAACTTTCTTTCCAAATACCCATGACCAGGAGGCGGCGCTCAGAACACATAAAGCCCAGATGTAGACATAATTGATATTTTTCTGTGTTATCTGGACACCCTCTCCATCTGATGTTCTTCTGATGATACTCTTTACAATTATAGACTGTAGGAATTTATCATATCTCTAAAAATAAGAAAGTTCTGTTTTATTTGACTTTCTTAAAACAAATGTCGCCTTGTCTCACCTGAACAACACGCCGAAAGAAAGCACCTATGAGGGAAAGGTTGATTCTCTGGGGTCACCAGGATCAGCTGCTGGGGAAGCTCAGGAAACTCAGATAGACTTTTCCCTCATACTGA